TGTGACCACTCAGTGTACATGTTAGATGTCCCAAACGTATCCTTAATCTTAAATTATTTGTAGATTTTACCACAATTTACACATTCCAAAAGTTAAATTACAATCTTAGAATGGTTGGTTAGGGCTTTATGGTGCAAAACAATTATGTTCATAGAATAGCAATTAAATGGGTTATTAATGAAAAATAAAATTTCCTTATTATTGTTCTTTATTGTTTTGACAGTTTTCATGTAACCTAGATTACATAAAACACAATTCTTTCTTTCACAACTGAAAATACCTTTTTTTAACCTTTAGGTTGATTCAATAATCTATACAACTTTTGAGACTGTCTTCTTGATAAAATAATTTAATTATCTTTGAATAGACCTTTCAGTTTTTTTATTATTTACTATTTATTTTAATTGTATATTAACAAATGAAATATCAACATGTATATTTGGACAATAAATCACGAAAAAATATATTTTCTTTAGGTTCATTAATCCCTCTGTTTATTTTTTATATTAAAAACGTTATTCTCAGCTATTTCAAAACCTTTTAATATAACTTTTTTCGGAATAGTGACATTGAACTAAGAATTTTTAGTTCCAACAATCTGTTAACTCTCATTTCTTCATTGGAAACCAAACAATATAATCTACTTGCAAGATTTACGAGAACATTTAATTTAATTGTGTTTGAGATGATTACTAAAAAATCTACATATTGATGCGAGTTTGTGGGTTTATAAAAAATGTCACCTGCAATTTCCTTTTCTGGTGAAACACCAACACATCTCAAAAGGACAAGGTTCTATTGTCTTTTTCAAAGGTAAACTCAATTTCCTTGTTTATTGAATTTAAAATTCCATCAAACTTATTAATATCTTGAGTATCTTTCCATATTACAAAATAATCGTATAAAAATCTTTTCCAGAAATTTTTTACGTTAAATGCAAAATAATCTTTAAAAGAACTATGTAGTATATTCAAAAAATCCCATAATGATATTAGCATAAGTTGGAGTAACTTTTGTGCCCATTGCTGAACGAAAAATTTGATGAAAGATTTATTCCTTGTTAGTAAAAAAACATTTCTTTTTAAAAACTACATCTAAATCTTTTAAGATAAAGTCTTTATTAAACCTGGGATGAATTAATTCTTTATATCTATCTAGACAACTTTCCACAGCTTTAAGTCTGTGGTCATGTTTTATACTTGGATACAGAGCTACTACGTCTAAAGAAACAAAAGTCTGTTATCTTCTAATTTTTTGGTAAGTTTTAAACAAATTCAAAATCATCCCTAATAAGACTACGAATATGAGGTAAAAAATGTTTTAAAAGTATATCCAAAAGGACAGCTAAATGTGCAGTAATTTTTGTATTACCTCCTACAATCGGTCTTATTGAAATATTGGGGTTTTCTAATATTAATATATTCACATTTTGTTTCCACCTGTAATTCGTTAATCTCCTTGATTTATGGATTTTGGGAAGTACACAAAAGTACACAAAAGTACACAGATTTTTGAATTACTTGAAATAAAGTTTTTTCTTTTTTGTTAATATCATCATAAATTCATCAACAAAATTCTACAACTTTTTCTTTTATAGAAGTTATGCACCTCAGTTTATTTAAGCTTTCTATTTTTGGTATACCTTTGGATCATTTAAATGTTCATAAACCATCTGATTATAATATTGTTGGGTCATAATTATCCTTATTTTATCTTTATCCACTGTTTCGAGTATCAAATTAGAATTTTTGAGTTTCTTGAGCAATTTCCGTTTCTTTAAAGTTAAATTACCCTTCTCTTGTTTATCAGTAACAAAATATGATTAATTTTTTTACAAATTAACTTTAATTCCAGGATTATTCCTAGAACAGGATCAAAATCTGACTTACCTTTCTTTATTTGAATATTTTTAAGTCTTAATTTCCTATTAAACTCGTATATATCTTCTATCAGTTGCATTTTATTGGCTTTACTTGTGGGAATAAATGTTAATCCTTTACTGATAATCGTTTTTTTTTCTTTCAAGCTATTTTCTCTTCAATTAACAATTTTCAAAAAATTCTGAACCTGTTTAGCTAAAAGTTTTGGGAACTATGTCATATTTTGTTAAAAATCATGGGTATTTCGTATAACCTCTCTTCTTCCTTCATGCCTTAAATCTTTCATTCTATTGAAGTTTCTTTGTCTTAATATTTCATTTTCTTTGCCCTTGTGTTTTTTGTTGACTTTGAACATATTCATCTCCTATATCAGCACCTCCAGGATTACATCTAGTTTTGTTACTCTATCTATCATTTCTTACCATTTCCTTGTATTATGAAGTAATTTCTTCATTTTAGTTATCAACATTTTGACAATCTTTACCTCAGTTTATAATAACTTTACTTTCAATTTTCCTTCCTCTCTCTCTTGATTTTCTGTGAATTTCATCTTTAGGTTTTCCATTCAAACTTTTTGGGGCATATAATGTAAGACATAATATATTATTTTTCGAAAATTGTTTTATAGCTTTTAATAGTAGTAAAATGACAGAAGTAGCTGGTTGTGTAAAGTCAGTTAGAATTGCAAAACCATGAAAATTGTTACCAAGCCTTAACAGAAAAGACAAAAATATAAGTAAGAGTAGGAAATTATAGAATAAATGGATTACATTTCTATAATAATAAGAGAAAGTATAATAATAAATTTGATTTTAATTTGAAAAGGAAAGTATATCGACTAACTTTATTTATTTTTGAACATCTTAATGTACTTGATTAATACATGGCGTGTATTATATGTTTGTACATTTGACAAATATATGTATTTAATTTAGATTATTTACATTTAGTTGAAAAACGGTATTTGTATATTTTTGTTATAGATTCCCAATGAAATTATATCCTAAAGAATGACCTTTGAAGTCACGAAACCGGTTTAAGAAATTAATAGAGAAGATGAAAAAATAGAATAATCTGATATTCTAGTGTGTTTTTATCATAAACCACACCAATGGTTCATAATAGGGATCCCACGGGAATTTGCTCAAAACTCTAATAGAACATTCGGAGAAAAACCACCTTAAAGAGCAGACTTATTCTTGAAACAAAACTCAAAATAAGACCACCCACGCATTGATAATAAGCAAAATAAGTGAATTCACGATTGCAGACAAAATCAAAATTTGCCCATTTGTTCATATAATTATTATTATTTCACAAGCCTACAACAAAATCTGCTGGGTATTTTGCACCAAAACCTAAACTGATATACTATATAAAGCACTGCGAATATCCACGACCTACTTAAAAGTTGATTATTATTCACTGAAGGTTGATTTACATGGTTATAAATATATAATAGATGCGATGTTGTTCCGGGCGGCTGCTTTTGTACTCGACTCGTGTTTACACGAAACGTCAGGCACAAAGCCACCAGGCTCAGTAAATAATTACTTTAAAAGACAAGAATTTTGTGTCTTACTCCAGATATATTTGCCCATTGCTGTGCATTAAAAAGCCAACATTCAAGATAATTAAACATTGAGAATTTAAAATGTACAAATAGGGATCGCAAAAAAAGTAAGCAAACAAAGCTGGAGAGCTACTGCTTACAGATAGTAATTCTGATTCTGAATCTCATTTTTCATATTAAAATGAAACTACAACTGGTTTGACGAATATAATTTGTGATAAACGTGAGAAGTGCTGTTTCGTAATTTATGAACTCATTTCACCAATATTCCTTGATATATATATATATATGAGAAAGTTTCCATATGGGTAGTAACAGCCTGTGGTAGCGAAACAGAAGTTACCCGAAACGTCGATATGTAAATGAAGATACACGACATTTACAGTGGTAATTTCACACTACACTTGATCTATAATATTACCGTTTTTAATATAAATCCTCTTCTTGTTTTTCCAATATCCTACATGTTCTAGCTAGGTTAATTACTTGCGCATGCGTATTACGGTTTATAATGCATTATTGAAACTACGCGCTAACTACCAATTTTCTTGAACTAAAATAAAATCTAACCGTTATAAAATGGTTTTTCATATTATTAATTCAGGTTTTTCATCTTTATGAGGTCGAAAAACCAAGTTCGGGGGTAGGGTATGGGGGTGTCACCGATCATCTTAAGTGATCGGTTTTTAGCTACAACTTTAAATACGTTATCAAAGACACATAAACAAGAATGCAAACTGCTTTTCTTTATCTGTCTTGCGTAATATATTTCATTCTTCATTACAGCAAATTGTAATGTTGGTTTTACTTAAACTTGCAAGAAATAAATGTTTCATTTGATAAATGATGTTCCCTTAGCTCAAAACTAATGTGGTGACTATAAACGGAATAAAAAATCATATCGTAAGTAGAATCATTTTTGTAGAACAAGGCCACATTGGGCTATCTGCTGTATCCACCGCGAGGAATCGAACCCCGGATTTTAGCGTTGTAAATCCGTTGACTTATCGCTGTCCCTCCGGGGAGGAACATAAAAATAATATACATTTATTAACAGGCTAAATAAAATGTAATGCACAAATTTATACTATTAATGACAATAACAATTACACAAAATAATATTGTTAAAACTTAACTTACGTGTTAGACGTATTTTATTCGCATATTTAAAAAAATATTTGAAACATTAGATCATTTACAGATAATATAGGGCGAACTTAGGATTCACAAATAAAGTTATGACAGCAGTTACAAGATGATGAAAGTAGCATATGATAAGATATAACCTACTGAGGGCGGTAAATTTTCGTGTTACATTAACTATAGAGCACGGGAGCTAGAAAAACAAAGTTTAAAATAAAAGTAAAATCCGACTGCATACGGAAAAAGTTTGTTATCAAAAAACATATATATAATGGAGTTTGTTTGAAGATAACTACAAAGCTACACTATGGGCTATCTGGGCTCTACTCACCACGGGTATCGAAACCCGGTTTATAGTGTTGCAAGTCCGCAGACATACCGCTGTGCCACTGGGAGGCATATAATGTAAAATTACCTTATCTAGTAATAAGTGATATCCAGAATTGCTACATCTGCGTTCTTGCAAACAAAAATCAAAGTAAATGTGTAAAAGTTTCACATTCGGGCACTGTGCTAAAACTAAACACGTGCGTTAATTTGTTATCATGTTAAGTTCGTTAATTCATAAAGCAATTAGGTTTCATGTAAGTGTACTTCATAGTATTTCTTATTTATTTACAGGATCCTCCTTTGGTCATTACTAAGAACAAACAAACGAAGACGTCGGTTGTAGAAGCAAAGGGAATATCTGTTGACTTGCTTAATGCAATAGCTGTGAAGTTGAATTTCACGTAAGAATCCGTTTATAAAATATCTTTTTATTTCAGTTTTTTAAATTCAGGTTATGAGCCACTAAATGAATTTTTATTGAAATAATATTTTAGCTTTTTTATGGGGATCTGAACTCAATCAATAAATTAAAAAAAGAGTATAATACACCACCATATAAAATAGTATTCAAGTCATTAAAAGTTAACGGCCCGGCATGGCCAAGTGTTTAGGGGCGCTCGACTCGCAATCTGCGGGTTCGAATCCCCGTCACACCAGACATGCTCGCCCTTTCAGCCG